GCTGCGCTGTGAGAGTGCAGTTCTGCGCTGTAAGAGTGCAAGAGTTCTGCGCTGTAAGAGTGCAAGAGTGCAGTTCGGGGTTCGGGTTCCGGCGCGGGAGTCCCGCGAAGACACTCGAACGGGAGGTTGAAAAACATGATCAAAAAAACACAAAAAAAGATGAAAAATCTGCCAGCACTGGCTCAATCAAGCACAAGTGAGAACATCATTCAGAGGCAAAAGGAACGGTAGTGCACGGAAAGCGCCCCTCATTTAGCCTGCAATCATGGCCAAACGAAAGCGTGGACGTCCTCGCAAGAAGAAATGTCCTACATACAGATTGGGCAAAGCGAGTTCATTGCCGGGACCTTTGTGGGTTCTATGGCTGAAACACGTGTGGGCTCAGGGTCCTTCATGGCTTTGGGTGGCCTTGGTGCTGTCTCATCCTCTTTGTCTGAGGATCTCTGAAGTGCTGAAGCTGAAAGCTGAAGATTTCCGGTGGACGGAGAAGAAAGCAACAATTGGCCCACTCAAGCGTCAGCCAACCATTGAGAAGCATCTGTTGAGTGCTATCGTTCCTACTCTGCAGCTCTTGAAGAATGGGCGCAAGCGCAAAAGAACCCAACACAAGGGAGCTTTGGGTGTCGTGAGGTGGTTTGATGTGTGGTCTTGGCCTTCCAAAGGCTATCTGTTCCCTTCGCACCGGGTTGATGCTAAAGATACCCACAGGGTCCAAAAACACCGTGCGCAAAAGGATTGGAGCGCTCAGAAAGTCGTTCCGCCCGCCAGCGAAGCAAAAATTGGTCGTGGACCAAAGCAAAATCAGATCTCACTCAGGGAGGCATCGACTGATCAGTGACATGAAGGCAGCCCAAATCTCAGCGGAGACAGGTATGAAGTTCGCACGCATCAAGGACAAGAACACGTACATGGGATATGGTGAGGTCACAGACGAACAAGCTGGTCGGGCAATGGAAAGCAGCAAGTCGCTGTTGAAAAGCTTGTCGCTAGTCTACTTTGAAGTGCTTGTGAGTGTGCATTGAACCAAAAAAATGCAAAAAAGCACAGAAAAGGTGACTGACTCAAAGAATGAGTGCTGCACTGAACCCTGTGCTGGGAATTCAAGCAAATGACACTCGGATTGCTGGTCCAAAAGGAAAGAAAACGCGACTCGGTGAGTGATTCCAAGATCTGACACTTTACAGCGTCAATCAAACACAGTGCAATCTACTGGCCACCTGAGGCTGAAGTCAAACCTACGACCTGCGCCTGGCGGGAGCCTGAGCTACTTGACCTAAAAATCCCAACCAAAAGAAACCTAAGATCGCTGAGAAGAGATCTGAGAGTACCAACAGATCATTATCATCAGGGCGCAGGGTGCAAGATGCGCAAAATTGCAAGACACATCTCGTACACATTTTTTTTGCACAGCTCAGGCTTCTAGTGCGCTCCACCACCTATTTCTGAGGTGATTTTTTTGCAGGAACTTTTCGCGCTGCAGGTTTTCCCTTCAGCGTTCGAATATGCGCAGCTGGCCTTCCCTTTGCTGTTGACGCTTTTACAGCCGCTTTTACAGCCGCATCTGCTTCCCACTTCTGCTTGTCAGCTTCAGCTGAGATCACTACATGACTTCCATGGTCGAAAAAACTGATTGCGTCTGTGACTGCTTTCGTGTTCATGTCGCTGCGGATGCCTTAGGTCAAAAGTCCCCTTCAACAAAGTCAAGTCTGGGCTCGACGATAACTCTGCCTAACAGCAAAAAGCTGAGTACTTACCTAACATGGATGCCGCAGCAACACATGAACCACAAGTCATCGTCATAGGTGCGGACTTGCGGCTCGTCAATCCTCGAACCAATGAAAGGCAAAGAGCATAGAATTGTCCCTGATCAAAACGAGACGAAGTGCTTTCGGCAAGAAGCTGCGGCCAATCTTTCGCCCGCAAGTCCAGCGACAGCCCCAAATTGGAGTTTGCAAATCCCTCTTGGAACTGGGTGAAGTAGTTTGGCATGATGCTGCTGAAGTATTCGTCCATAATATTCACCACCCGGCTTGAGCCTCTTGAAACCACAACCTCCCAGAGCGATGACAGAGAAGTGAGCTTGTTACTAGAAGCGAACATTGCTCCTATACTACTCCTAACTCATTAGGAAGACAAAAATGGCAGAGCTGCTGATTCAAGCCTCATGACTTGGGAATTGTCGCCAGCTGATGATCAAGCATTTTAATTGCTTTTTTCAGGGAGGGAGGGGAATTGATGCACACAGAACAATTCACATAAGCATCGGCCTGCTCATCATGTTTCATCATGCCTCCTGGTGCTTACAAGTCCTGTCACTCGTCATTTATTCGTCTTTTCCGGCAGCTTTCTGTTCTTTATCAAAGCTATGCTTGCGCGACCTTGTCTTCTAGAGTTTCTCTACGTGACATAGGCTTAGGAGTTGCGTACATTGCTCAAAAAAGCCTAAAAGCCCATGATCTGCAGTATACGTTTTACCACTCCTTTGTCACTAGTCGAGAGTATAGTCTTTCGTTGATCTGCAGCGCAGCCGGTCGCAACGCGCCATGGTTTCAGGGCAAGAAGCATTCATGACATCGCGCAAATGCCTGGATGCATCCTCGAAAAGAACTTGCAGCTCAACCAGAGCCTGAGAATATGAAGGCCCGGCCTGAGCCAAATCACCAATCAATCATGTATAGTTCATTAATTCATCATTCAGTCAGTCATTCATCCATTCATCCATGGATTCATTCTTTCATTCACCCATTCATTCATTCATCCATTCATCCATCGATCAATTTGGAACACGATTCTGTCCCCACCAGTTCAGCGGAGGCTCCAAAATGAGTTGCAGGTCATGCAGCTGCTCTGAGCACTGCTGGAAGTTGTGATATGCGTCCAATAGTGTCTTCGTTTGATGGCCAACAGAGTGCCTGGCTTGGGTTGTGATACAGAAACGCAGCTCAACATGCTGCCAGTCATTGGTTCACATGAACTGCTGTTATTATGGCCTATGAACCCAACTGGTTTCATTGCCATCGCATCAAGCTGCTGAAAGAATACCAATTCTTCACGAAGCTTGATCATCAACGCACAACATGCCGACTTCCGCCAGTCCACCCATCTAAAATATGGCGCAGAAGATCGTCGATCCTGCACTGCGCCAGACATCTTGCTTGAGCCAAGCGCTTGCCCCTTGATTTGCAAATTGCATTTAATTTGCGCTTAGTGTTGCTGCGCCCGCCTGACCCATCGGCAAGCAGGGCCGTTGGCAGCAGATTTGCGGACCTGAAGAGGAATCTGATTTAAGTTCGCGCGTCACAAGCCTCGCCTTCACAAGGCAATGTTTCCCGGTTTGCGCATTCTTCGGCACTCTTCTTACTATAGCTGCTAAGCGGGATTGAAGGATTGGAGTGCTCTCCTGTATTCTAAGGCCTTGGGCACTGCCGCTGCCCTGCAAAGAATAAAGGTCAACAAGCTCAACATGACACCTGGCACTGTTACAGCGCCTTTTGTTCGCGCAAACATGGTCTCTTGCCATAGCTTGTGGCTGGTCAATATTTTCCCGGCTAGCTGTCGCTGATGATCATCCTGTTACTGTACTGCATCGCCCTTTTGGCTGCATCACAAATTGGCCAGGTCATACGCCAGGACTTCCAATGCATCATCAAGAATGTCTGCGTCGTCCTTTTCTTCTTCCAAGAACAAGTCCCGGACGAACGTGAGGATCTGGATGCCGGCCTTGATCTCACCACGCACCCGCTTTTTGTCACTGGCTTTGACCAAGCACCCAAAATCTGTCAAGTAGAAACGGCCCATCCCGCTGACGGGTGTGTGCAGGGCTGCCGCGTAGTCAGCATCTTTGTCAGCCAGCCTGCAAAGCTGAGCTTGTGTCATGCAAACCCACACAATTGCAAGCTCTTCCCGGTTCACCATGCTATTGGTCGGTATCAGATACCGGCAACATTCCCGCAAGCTTTCAAGCGCCTCACTGTCCGACTCCTCAACTATCACGCCGTCCATGAAGTGCTCGATCATGGGCTCACTGACCTTGTCTTGGACGTACACGTCGAGAGAGGCCTGTTCCAAAAGGCGGCCATGGAAGCAAATTCGGCTTGACAGGGCTCGAGGATAGCGGCGTTGTTTGAGTCTGGCCACCAGCTGCAGAATCAGAAGCACACATTCCTTAAAATTCACAATGACACCTGGCACTGTCACAGCGCTGCAAGAAAACCAGCAAACTTGACTTGATGGTTAAGGCTTGCCAGGGCCTCAATGTCTTCATCGACGACGAGTATGCCTCGCAGGAAGTGAACATGAGCGTGGGAGCGTCTGCAAGGCAAGTGGAGAGAACTCACTCACCCTGGGTGATTAGTGTCAGCTTCCTTGCCAGCCCTGCAGCAACTCTTAGAGATTGCTGCGACATTGGGGTAGCGGTCTCAATGGACTTTTTGTGGTCCAGGGCTGGAGGCATTAGAGCCGTGGAGAAGAGGGTCCATCCTGAATGGAACAAATAGACAGCAGAGAACGCGCCGTGATCACAGGGGCCGATCTTGCCAGTCGGATCTTGCCAATCATCGAGATGGTCTTGCTTCAATTGGTGTCATGTCGTGTCTGGTACCTCGTGTGTGTTTGCGTGTGTGCTTCCATTCGTTGCATAATTGTGAGGTGTTTGATTTTCACGGTCGTTCTCCCTTGGCCTGTATGACCTCCTTGGCTTGCTTTGACAGGAAGCCGCCCATGAGGGTGCATGCCTCGGCGACAGCGTGGCAGCGCACACTCATGTCAGTGCAAGAGAACACTCTTACAGCGTCCCAGGCAAGACTGGCATTCATTCAACCCAAACGTGGTTAGCAAACGTGCGGCGTGCAGATTTAGAAGGAAACTCTCATGGCACTGTTACAGCGCACAAACTTCACAACACGCACCTATTATATCACAGCACTTCCATCTTGAAAGGGCCATTTTTTGACCAGCTCGCGCCGAGTGCTGCAGAAAAGCATCGACCCCCGAACAGCCTTCTATTCGCCAGCATCCGAGATCACGACGACCTCATCGTCATCCATTGCGCCGGATTCGGATTCCCCGTCGAGCGAGATGTCCTGCCAGCTGTCGTCATCATCATCCGAAGGCCGCGAACAGGGAGAGTAACGATCAGGAGTTGTTCTGCGTCTTTTCTCCCCTTTGGGAATGATCGAGGATCGCAATTCCTCCAAGGTCGGACGCCGTGCACGGTCATCTTTAGCCTGCTGTTCAGACTCACCTGGAGGGATAGGTGGCAGCGGCGGCACTCCTGCACCAGGCGACTTGAACAGCTCTGGGCGTGAGCTGGCACAGCCTTGCGATGACCTCTGCCCTGTTTCCACGGCAGGTCACCTCCAAGGTCCTGCAAATCAGCCGCAAGTGTTGCTCACGCAACTCGAACTCCACCCTTGGAACCAGATTTGCCCCTATGCCCCAGGCAAAGTTGAGCAGCATGAGACCCGTCTCGTGAACCTGGCAGGTCCCCACGCTTCCAAAGGCCACATGCCCTCGACAAGTAATTCGTCTGAACGAAAGCCGCCCAGTAGCTGAAAACAACATCCGGAGTCCTTGGCCGTCCTCATCGATAGGATCCCCTACTTGTTGATGCAGGTAGATCCATTCCCCCATCCTAGAAGGGGCATTGTGGTCTTGGAACTTGGAGCTGAAGCACCGTAGCATGCCGCGCAATTGAGCGGGACGGTGCTCCGAGGGCAGGAGGCACAGCTCCATTGCCATGGAGAAAATACAAAAGCAGAAGCAGGTCGTGAATTAAAGCACTGTGTCGAATGACCAGTGAAGTCATGAATGATCAGTGAAGTCAAATGAATGGCATGATCAGTGAAGTCATGAAGTCATTAATGAATGAAGTGAGGTGAATTCGTGAATGTGAATGTGAATGGAAATCTGTGCAGTCTGTGAACGACCTGTTCAAAAGGCCAAATGCCTGCAGATCCAGAACATCTGAACATGAGAGATGCATAGTAGACGATGCATCGCAACGTGACTCCCCACTATTACAGCGGGCCCACTATTACAGCGGGCACATGGAAGACAGCTACAGTGGCAGCCCAGAGAGCGCACGTGACGGTCGGAACCTCGCCTCACCAAGGATGAAGGCCTCCACAAATCCAACAGGATCTGCCTGTGCCGAGAAGGCCGGGGGGGTAGGTTATGGGGGGGACATTGAGCAGTTGAGGGTCATGTCGAATCTGGTACCTCGTGTGTGTTTGCGTGTGTGCTTCCATTCGTTGCATAATTGTGAGGCGTTTGATTTTCGCGGTCGTTCTCCCTTGGCCTGTATGACCTCCTTGGCTTGCTTTGACAGGAAGCCGTCCAGGGTGCATGCCTCGGCGACAGCGTGGCAGCGCACACTCATGTCAGTGCAAGAGAACACTCTTACAGCGTCCCAGGCAAGACTGGCATTCATTCAACCCAAACGTGGTTAGCAAACGTGCGGCGTGCAGATTTAGAAGGAAACTCTCATGGCACTGTTACAGCGCACAAACTTCACAACACGCACCTATTATATCACAGCACTTCAATCTTGAAAGGGCCATTTTGTGACCAGCTCGCGCCGAGTGCTGCAGAAAAGCATCGACCCCCGAACAGCCTTCTATTCGCCAGCATCCGAGATCACGACGACCTCATCGTCATCCATTGCGCCGGATTCGGATTCCCCGTCGAGCGAGATGTCATGCCAGCTGTCGTCATCATCATCCGAAGGCCGCGAACAGGGAGAATAACGATCAGGAGTTGTTCTGCGTCTTTTCTCCCCTTTGGGAATGATCGAGGATCGCAATTCCTCCAAGGTCAGACGCCGTGCACGGTCATCTTTAGCCTGCTGTTCAGACTCACATCTGGAGGCATAGGTGGCAGCGGCGGCACTCCTGCACCAGGCGACTTGAACAGCTCCGGGCGTGAACTGGCGCAGCCTTGCGATGATCTCTGCCCTGTTTCCACGGCAGGTCACCTCCAAGGTCTTGCAAATCAGCCGCAAGTCGTCCACACTCTTATTGGCGAACACAGAGTCCCCCGCCAATGACATTGCACGGGCAATGAATCCCAGAGGCCTATGACTACGGGACCAGCAGAGTGTGCGCAATTTGACGACACAGGCTGCGACAGACTGCAATCCTGCACGTAAAAGGCCATGCAACCCCAAACACGCACGAAAAAGAACAAAAAAACGAAGTGCGCCGAGACTCCGACGCACTATGCGGTGAAGGCCTTCGGTCCATGACACTCAAAACTTCAGTGATCATTCGCAGGGTTCACTTGAACAACAGGATTTGATGACCGACAATCAGACTTTAAGCACCCGTTCGTTTTTTGGACCGTCGATTTCGCTGGCCTGATTAGGCGGGTGCTTTTGTAGGAGTAGAAGTCGCGGGCATGCTGGGTGTCCATTCAATGGCACTGCGCCCAAAATCTTGCGCTCAGTTGTTCAATGAGCGAGTGCCGACCAGTCATCGAACCCTCCAGCTCACCCCTTTTGAGTGTCTCTGGACTGCAGTTACTCGCCGGCTGGCCACACACTTAGAATGCCATATTCGCGAGTCTTTCACAGCAACTATGCGAGACCATACTACAACACATACGAAATGAACACGGCGTTTCTGCAAGTCCAGCGAGCAACAGTTTCGCCGCAACTCACTGAGAATGTAAGTGCGGATATACTGGCCCCATGAGTGTTGGGTCTGAAAACTGTCATTGCACATGGCCTAGGAAATACGCTTAGACAAAGGCGCACGACAAAAGACCTTCTAGATGACAAATGCAAACCATACCCCTGGCTATCAGTGGGTGTCCGCTGGCAAATGGCTCAGGAACAAACGAAGAATCGACTGTGAAATGGAAAGCTTCGCAGAAAGCTTGGGCGTTACATATTCAAGTTCTCATGTCTGCAGATTCTGGAGTTGCGCTCTACCAAACGACCAGGGTGCGTTCCTCAACTCCCAACCCACTGGGGACCAGTACACTACAAGGAAACGTGCACACGGATAGAGCCAGCCTTGCTTTTTGTCAAGCATGGCGAATACCCAACATCGTGTGTAGTGGAGCCTTCCAAGCTTGCGAGTGCGTGCTCTTGCAGCCGGCGGATGTTCTGCTCTCTCATCACATACTTGTTGCTAAAAGTGGGGTTGTCTCTCTGGGCATGAAAGCCAAGCTCTTTCTAACGAAGATTGCTATTCCTTTCCATGCAAGTTCGAAAGGCTTGGAAACCAGACATGGCACAGGGTGGCTCTTCAAAATGGCGCGTCTGCTCAGAGCAACGGCGCTCACTCTTCGCCTGGCTCCCCAGTTGGTGCACTCTGGCCCTGCTGGTTGTTGCGCAAGCCGTTGAGAATCTCCCGGGCGCGTGCCAAGGCTGAACTCCCTCCTTTCCCTCCTTTTCCGCCGCCCTCTGCCTTGCCCCGGCCTTTGCCCCGGCCTCCCCGGCCTTTGCCTCCCTTAGGCATTTTGTCCGGTGGTTCTTCAGTCGGGTTGTCCATCTCTACTGCGCCACGCTTTGTGCCGTGCTCTGCCAAGATGGTGGCCCTGAGTTGGCCGACCCGAACAATGACTTGAAACCCTAGGCACAATCAAGAATCATACGACGCACTCGTGCACAAGCACAGTCGAGGAACAGTCCGACCTGGAACAAAGGCGACGATTCGTCCAGGTAGGCCTTCCACAAGCACTGAACCAAGCGCTCCTGTAGTAGCTTGGCGTGAGCCTCAGTCCATGTGATGCCAACGTAGACCGCCTGAGACTCGATGGCCGCCATGGCCAGCACTTCGTCCAGCGCGCTCGCATCAAAGACGCGCTTGACTCGAAACGAATAGAGCAACTCCAGATACAATGACTTGTGGCTGCCGTGCCATGCCACAGGTTCTCGTTCATCGGTCGATTCTGGGCATGGATCTGCGTGTTCTGCTTTGCCACCCGACAGGATCCTGACAGGTGCGTGTTTAGCCACTTAAGCACCCCCCTAGAACGAGAGACTATCAAATGTCGGTTCTGTTCCCTTATTGAAAGACTTCCGACCTTGCATGTTATAGTGCCCAATGCAGGTTTTGGAGCCAGCGTTTTGCTCTCCAATCTCTAAAGAAACTCCAGGTGCCTGACTAAGAACCGGTGGCTTAGGACTTGTGTGGGCCAGTGACTTGGTAGTTGTGGCCCACTACTCCTAAGTCAGTGGGAACACAACAATATCAGAGATCCGATTGTCGCCAGCTGATGATTAAGCCTTTTGTCAGGGAGGGAGGGGAACATAAGCATCGGCCTGCTCATCATGCTTCATCATGCCTCCTGGTACTTACAACTGCTATCTCACGTCATTTACTCAACTGTCCCGGCAGCTTTCTGTTCTTTATCAAAGCTAGTCTTGCGCGACCATGATTTCGTGAGCTTCTCTACTTGACATAGGCTTAGGAGTTGCGTACATTGCTCTAAAAAGCTTAAGGGCCCATGATCTGCAGTATACGTTTTACCACTCCTTTGTCACTAGTCGAGAGTGCAGGACATTGATCAGTTTCGAAGTTCCCTTCAAACAGACACGACACATCAAGGGAAGAAACAATGCGATGCACGGCACGGACACTTTTACAGCGTCCCTGGCCTTGCACTCTGCAGTCAATCGTAACATTTCCACAGGACCCAGTCCACCATTGCAAACTCCCTGGCCATTCTTTACACGATACCATGTTCCAGTGGAGCATTGATGCCGTTGGGCATGTCCTAGAGGATTCTTCGGGAATAATGCTGAATCGGTGGGACGTTTCAAGAAGCTGAGCTTTGTGTTGTGGTCGTCAGAATGTGCTGGTGAGTGTGTAGAAGCTGACTTTCTGTGTAGAAGTTGGCTTGCCTATAGCACTTTGCCTATAGAAGTTGGCTTGCACAGGTTCTGCTTGAAATTCAAACGGGAACTGACCAAAAAAGGCCGAGCAGCTTTCCCAAAGGTCCGAACAATTCCTGCTTTTGCTCCGCCGTTAGTCGCCATCTGCTGTCCAAAAGAGTCGTGGGAACGTCAACGATGGTCAAGCCGGTTGTTGTTCCGTTGAAATGGGCCCTCTTCCTCTTCTCAATCTCCAAGGGCTGAGCGGTGAAGATGTGCAACTGCTCGCTGAGTTGCATGAATCCACGGCACCTCTTCAATGCACATTTCAGCGAAAATGCACGGCTTGTGTTGCTTTCGTGTATCCGTCACATCGCTCGTGTATCTCTTCTGGTCTGGGTCTTTTTCGTTTACTTTCGTCGGGGTTCCTACGTTTTCTTTCTGTCTCTCTGTTCCTTTGCTTCATTTTGTCATTGTGTTCTGCGTTGTCTGATTTCTTCAACATCTTGTGTCTTCAATGCCCTTACGCTGTCAGAGATGCTTTGGAGCACGAAACGTTGGTCAAAGGCTTTCACCAACCCCCACCTGATCTTGATAGCTGCGGCAGACTCTTCGTCGTAGGTTATGGTCCAGGTGGTACGATTTGTGGATGACCACCTGCCGTGTTCCGGAGGGAGTGTTGTTAGAGTTATTGTGGATTTGCCCGTTGGCAGGGCACTCTCAATAAGAAGAATACAACGCGCTAGCAGCTGCCCTCCCGCCTGTTGCCAGTGGGACTCAGGCAGCAAGAGGTCTGCACAGTGGTCGTCAATTGACGCCCCGTCCATAAAAGCGATCAAGCAGTCCTTTCTGGGTTCCTGCGCGGGCTGCAGGGAGATGGATCAAAATCACCGGCAAGACCCCCCCCTGTGTGTCCAAGGAAACTCACCCCCTCAACAGGTGGGCGCTTTTCAGCACAAACCTTCCGTTGCGAGCGTTTCCTGTTGCGTGTTTTGTTCCGCTCTCCTGGTGAAGGATGTCGTGAATCGCCTTCCGCTCGCCCATAGCGCCAGTGGACACGAATGCGAAACGCCAGGCAGCAAGGATAGTACACAACGCACCGAGCTCGACCCAGAACAGAGAGATGCACACGGAGTTTTCATGCGTCGCTTGTTTCATGGCGCGGACACTTGTACAGCGTCCCTGGCCTCATGACGCGGGCGTCGCTTGCTTGATGAATCGAACACTCTTACAGCGTCCTTTGGTCGTTTGAACGGTCCTCTGCCATTGCTTGCAATGAAAGTGCAAAGCAAAACGCCCCTGAGGCAGTGGCCGCAGAAGGATGTCTTGGAAGTTGCACCTTGGCATTCAATGCTCCCGCTTTCATGCTGACGAGGCCAAGTGCAAAAGGTTTGTGCAATGGGACACTTTACAGCGTCCTAATTCTACTTTTGGCATAGTCTGACCCAAGAACGAGCAAACCCCATGCAAGAAAAGGGTGGCGGCAAGGGTGTCTTTTCCAATCCTCATTTGAGGAGGTTGTTGCTTCCGTGGCTGCTCTTCGAAAAGCCAAGTACAGGCATACCGTCAAAGAAGCCTCCCAGTTTCGTTCTTATACTTCATTGTTCGTCTTTGAAAGGTTAGTCATGGCGGTTGCTAAGTCGGGTGCTATTTACACCAGGTGCACGGCTTCTGTGACGGTGAGGGCTCAAGCGAGGCCGATGCCATGCTTTGCCCCGCTCAGCTACGAATCACTGCGTGCCAGCAAATTGAAGGCACACCTTCAAAGAAGCCTCCCAGGTCCGTTCGTATACTTCATTGATCTTCCAGGCATGGAGAGGTTAGTGATGGCTTTTGCTAGGTCAGGTGCTATGTACACCTGGACACGGCTTCTGTGACGGTGAGGGCCCATGCCCGTCCGATGCCATGCAGCAGCAGCTGCTCAATCATTCAGACCTGCCTTGTACTGCATCGTTTGATGGAGAGAGTTGTTTTGCCTCAAAGTCAACTGCTGCCCTTACAGCCACTGCTTCGCCCGGCTTTTACAGCCATTGTGTGGCTCGGAACAAATTGCGCATGATTCTGGTGAGCAGATCAACGCAAATGGCGTTGCCGGCGATCTGCATCAACTGGCGCTGGGTCACAAGCTGCTGCTGTTCTTCTGACAGCTCGACCCCTTGCAGCGCCAGGATCTCTGCCGGAGCCATCTTGCGCCGCAGCCACGTCAAGTAGTATCCTCGAGAGCCCGC